TGGCTATAAAGTGCAAAATAAATTAAGATTTCCCTAATCCCTTACTGTGCTTCTCTGTTTGGGACCTTTTCAAAACTATAACCGAAGTACTATTTGCTCTGTCATGGAAATAATTCATGTCAGTACTACACCCACATGGAATCGTAATCTCAGGCAATGCTCGAAGGAAAGAAGGATTACTTTTAGTCTTTTGTAAATTTACTTCCTCGGATTTTGGTCATGTGAAAGTGGAATTGCCTGAAAAAATTCATTCTTGCAGCCTAGATTTTATTTATTTATATATGGGGAACTAGTTTATTTATGCAAGAGGTAAGTAATTGATATCCACGGTCATCAACGACTTGATGCCATGGCTGTAGAGCATAAAGGAATAGTAACAGTTACAAAATACAGTCACCTAAATTATTGAGTCCGGTTGGATTGCTCAAAGATTGAATTTCTTATCCCATTAATTGAGTAATGATCTAAATTAGAATTATCGGATCAGAGATGCAAATTGAGCTGCTAACAAGCTGGTGTTCTTGAATCTTGATAGATTTGAGTGGAACTTTTTTTTTCTTTCCTTTTCATTTTGTTTTGTGGCGAGTTTGATAGTCCTCCACTGTCTCCGTATTCCCCTTTCTATGTCATTTAAACTAATTTAGTAAAATCCTGAAGTGTCACTTGTTCAAATACTTCTTTTAGGTACAGGAACAGCTGATGCAGGCATATTTCCTGAAGTAGACAGCAACTGGAAAGTAAGAAAATTTTAATGCCTTTGCTGTACTCTTTATTTTATATTTTTGTAGAAATTGTTTACACTGCCATCCATACATATTTTCCTTTTCAACATGAAATCCAAAATTTTACAAAATTCTGATTATTTTTCTGAAGTACAAAAATATCTTGATTTCTGCATAGAAGACTACTGAATTGATTTCTGTGGTGAAAGGTTGATACTCACATGAGAACTGTTGATGCCCCTTGTTCCCCTTCCCCCCAAAAAAAAGAAATCAGTTAATTGTATTGGGGATTTCGCCGTAGCACAGACTTTAGTGACTGACCTGGTGAAGACTTATTGCAAAAGCTACTTAAAGCCAGATCTTCAGTTAATCGACTCAGGGAAAGGGGATTCTAAGAGAGTTCTTGATCATCAACTTCAGAAGTTGGTCATTTCACTAAAAACTTTGCCTCACAGGAGTGCCTTACTTCTTCAAGTATTCCTATTCCAACCTCGAGAATACTTGAGGACTTCAAATTCATCCTTGCACACTGATCTTCCATATGGATGCTCCTGGTTACTAAGCTATTACATTATGTCAACTTTACCCTATTTAGGTGTTTGTGACCTGGACCAATACAGGTCCTTCCGAAAGACAGACAACCTTCACATCCATACATTGGCAATTTTTAGGCCTTATGGCATCCTTGGAATGATATTAATAAATGGGGTGGTTGGCTGGGAACGCTTGTCATCTTTTTGATGTGAGGAAGAACAGTGAAAATTCACTTGATTATGTATCATTTTAACAGTATCACATCGCACCTCAAAGCTAATCAAGATGTGGCACATTCTGAATAATAATTGCAGACATTCAATGAGGTTCAAAAGTTGCTTGGCAAGACCAAAGGGAAAGTGGTTGGTGATCTGATGACACCTGCTCCTTTAGTAGTTCGTGAATCTACCAATCTTGAGGATGCAGCAAGGTGCTGTCATTTTTTAATTGTTATTTTACTTGAACCCAAGTAATGCTTTTCTTGCTTTTTATTGAATGAGTCCGCCAAGACTTGCTCATGCACCTTCTTTCTTTCACTGTCAGACTTTTACTCAAAACAAAATATCGTCGGCTTCCTGTGGTAGATGGTAAGGGTAAGCTGGTAAGTTTATAAAGTTTTCTTTGTGTACAGCTTCTTTGCTACCCTATGGTTTTCTAATCGATCGGCCATTGTTTAATGAAGGTGGGAATAATAACAAGAGGGAACGTTGTAAGGGCCGCCCTTCAAATAAAGCGGGCAACAGAAATGGAAGATTGACATGTACCAATACAAGTTAACCGTAAAAAACAAGTAACACAGTTTGCCCCTTCTTCCACAGGATCTGGTGGTCAAGGCAGTCAGCTTAATTTTTTATAAACTGCAGTTCTCGAACATACTGTGTCAGACTAGGATATATTCGTGTAAATTAGCAACCTTGTAGGAGAATAGTGAAACTTGGCCTTTTAAGACATTGCAGAGTTCATTCTAATAGATAATACTGTTCAAAGGCTACATGCAAAAAGCAAAGTGTTCGAGTCAAAACTCTTCAGAGGTTTGAAACAGAGAAAAAAAAACCCAGATATTTAGTGCAGGTGGGAAACATTTTATGTGAACCTTCAAAAACATTAAATAGTAGGCACCTATCTTGACTGGAACTTTGCTCTTTGATTGAACGGTCTTTCGGGTGGATTTTGTTATGAATTGTATTTGTCTTCATTCATTTACTGATTTTTGTGTGGAGCCCATCTCTGAATGGGCTGCATTTCTGTCTTTGGTTGTTGAACTACAAAACGACTCCCTATAAATGCTGAGGTGGTTGGGTAACCTTATGTGTGAAAAAAAAAAACATAAAAGAACAGCCCCATGGAAGATTTTCAACAGGTCGTGTTGACAGAAATGGCACAATATTAGTTTTGCTATTTGGGGCCCTAGTGGCTAGTGACTGGACTGTCTTTTGGAAACAGGGCGTTTCCACATGTTGACAGTGATAGTTTATTTTTTTAATTCAGTTTGACAGGTAGAATATGAGCTCACTAGTCTCAATGTGAAAGCATTTCTATTCACATTTCACATTTGATCAATTGCCTCTTTTTTCGAGTACTACTTTTGTAAATAGGGAGACTAATAGGAGGTAGAGAATCCAAGTCTCTCCATTTACACCGGATAAAATCCTTATCCTCAATTTATTGTCCACAGTAGCAGTCGATGATGATTTTTCTTCTAGGTTAAAGGGGTAGGCACATGGTGCTCGAAGGAGCTGTGGACACATTCCATTGATTTCTAACGCTATTTTTGCATGTAATTCGTTATATCTGGTCAATTCAGAAAAAAGACTTATTACTGTTCCTTAGTCCCTACACAATCCATGCTGATTGCAGTATTTTATTTTTAAATGTTTTTGAATATTTGACCTTATTTTACTAAAATTATTTTTAAATGTTTTTGAATATTTGACCTTATTTTACTAAAATTGTTATGGGATAGGGGATACCTTGTCAAATTTACTTAGTAATTAGATTTAGATTTGATCGAATAAACTCGAATTTGTCACTGGTAATCATACATAGACAAGTCAAGTGAACATCTAGTGCCAGGATAAAAAGATGTTACATAAATAAGTTTCCATTGCGAGTGCATATGTGACCGTTCTGAATTGACAATGGAGCTAATCTCTGTAAACAGAAGAGAGACTATGGCAGGCAAGTGGGAATGGCTGGTGGCCCGTAGTCTCGTCATCAACATTTGTGAGTTGTGAGGATTACGGTACAGGAGAATTATGGTATTGTAATAAGGTACACTCTTGTTTTAATTTGAGATATTATTATTTTTATTTAGTTGACCTATTTTTTTTTTAAAAATGGAGCATGTCATCGTATACTTCTATGCTTCTCCTTTTGTAATCGTGGTGTCCTAACCAATTTATCGACACCTCAATTGATTTCATGGGATATCTATTGCCTCCTACCAAAACAGTATTTTATAGTTAGTAACTATAATGGTTCGAGAGGAAGAAATCACCTCGTATTTTTGTCTCTGATGAGATTTGAATCTGAGACTTTACGATATTCAACTCACTTCATTGACCATTTAATCATGTCTTTGGGTGCTCATATCCTTTTCATGGTGAATTGTGTTCTATGTTAAAAAAGTTATAAGAATCATTTCTTTAGTTTTTTTTTTAAAAAAAAATAAAATTACCCAAAATTGAATGTATCTATGAATATAAGTTATGAATATAAGTTTGTTAGTTGAAAACCCCAAATCATGAACATAGGCGGAACCACATACAATGACTTCAATAAAACCTCCTTCATTGAAAAGTTCTAAATAATGAACATGAGCCGTCCCTGCTACAACAACTAGCTGCAAAATACTATCTAAATATTATTGAACAAAAATATCTAGTTAACTCGATATTTATGTGAGGTAAAAGAAAATACATATATGACAAAATAATTGAAGTAGGCATAAATTAGTCTACATTTTTGTTCAGAGTTAGCAAAACACAAAATCACACACTACCCACTTGCACCACACTCAAGCCATTGTAGGGACAGTGTTGTTCCCTCATCCTCACCCTTTAGGCGGCCCTTTCCAAGTGGCCGCGGCAGTTTCCCACTTGAATCCACTGGTCTATTCTTTGGGCCTTTTTGGTGTCGGATAAAGATAATAATTTCAAAATAAATTTGAAATTAATTTAATTATAGTTAATTTAGAATATTAGTTAATTTCAAAATAATTTCCATACTCAAATGTTAAGGTTAGTTCATAGTTGTACCATATAAAAAATAAAGATGGTTAATCCTTAAGGTACATCTCACCACTGTACCAAACGACCCTTACCGTCTCCTTGTACTAATGCAATCACAGTATCTATCTATCAGATTAGGTATCAAAATCAATCCAAAAGTTAAATTCGAGTCTAGTGATCAAATCTATCCTTGAATCGAATCGATGCTCAAAACATAAAGTTTCAATCTCTTAAGCCTAAGACATACATCCCCACTTCTGAAATTCATAAAAAAATCTTTTCCTCATCCACTGGTCATGCTATCAACCACTACAAAAAAAAAATTAGACTACAAATAGTAACAATTGAACGCCCAATTCCCTTTTCTGTCGCCGCCACACACGCTCTCCTCACTCAATCATTTTTCTCCAAATAATAAACAATTGGTTAGTCTTCAACATGACCAATATGCATAATCCATCATTCACACTAACATTTATTTCCCCCACCACTAAAAGACCCCAACCAAGCAAAGTACAAACAGAATTGCGATAGACAAAATAATAACACAAATCCCCTTTACATCTTACAACATCAAAACTGCTCAGCTGATAATTTGTTCTTAAAGATAAAGTAAAATTAAAGAAAGAGGTAATAGTTTTTTTTTTAAAAGAATATAACAATCCTAGGCTACCAAGCTAGGAGTCGTCGACACAACCTGGAGCGGCGCTTGTATTCTTACCAAAGCACTTCCTCTTACCCCAACCAACAAAAAGAGCACAGATACTACTAATACTATTATTGGTAATATCGATAGTAACTAAATAGTAGTATTACCAGTAATCCACTTCTGGATCTTCGGGTTCGGGCTTCAAGTTTAAATCGGGCTTCTCTTGAAACCAACAAGGCTTCAATTCTGAAGGGCTTGCCGTCTCACAGTGCACCTTTTCTTCTGTATGGTTATGATGGGTTGCAAGCGAGTTCTGTACAGCATCAACTTGAGCACCAACTTCTATGGCTTTTTTACGAATTGAAGCAGCAGACAAATCATTAAGCCCACCATCACCAACTAACAACTCAGGAAAATTCAATCGGGCCGAAGGCCCTCTTAGATAATACACCGCCGTATCATAAGCCCGCGCCGCCGCCACCGGCGTTGAATACGAACCCAACCAGATCCTCGAACGCTTGTTGGGTTCTCTAATTTCTGCAACCCATTTTCCCCACTTCCTCATACGAATCCCTTTGTACGGCCTTTCGTTCTTTCTCTTCCCACCACAACAAACCCCTGAACTTGCAGCAACTCCACTTTGACCCCCACCACCTATCTCCATCTTTCTCTGACTGTATAATAATTATGCGAAATTACAGGGACTAAATTACAAAATTTTTGTTTCCCTGTAATCTAGAGCTAATAAACTGGGAGGAATAACAGAGAGAGAAAGAATACCCATGAAAAGGCAAAAGCTGGTAGTGAATGAAGAAAAGGTTATTGTGGTAGCGGTTGTGGCTACTCTACGTTGATTTTCTTAAAAGCATTTTTTAAAATTATTAACTCTAATAAAAGACTCCTCAAAAAAAAATGAAAAATGAAATATGTTGAAAGCACCGACACAATCAATAATAATAATAATAATACCAGTAACCTGCTGGATAGTATAATTTTTTCAATTGGCCCTTTTGTTTATTCAACAAAAGCTTAGCTGCTCGTACCTCATAAGATATGGTGGTGGTTGGCCATCCGCCATGTTAAAAGCTCCCCAAAATCCTCACAAATTTTCACCTATAGGCTATATAGCTAGAGATGTAGGTGTAAATATCCTCTTCTTCTTTTTTATCTCTCTTGGATTTCCTCTTTGTTTTTGGAATCAAATTTGGCTGTTCTAATGATGGGAGATGGCGTATTATGTGAGCTAAGGGAAATTTAGAGGGAATTCAATAATGGAAAAGCAGTTGTCATTTGGTTCAGTGGTGACGACACAGAAATGGGATTTTCTAAACTATATATAAATAATTAAAGATGATTACAATAATTCAATGAAATTCTTTTTTTTTTAATCCCATGGAAATTTATTGTCGCTATCCTTTTAAGGACACTAGGGGCAGATTCAAGGATAAGGTGGGGATTTTCGGAAACCCAATAATATTTGCCTCAATACTATATATATATTAAAAAATTAATAAGACAAAGTTGCTTAGATAGTAAACATTGCACACTTTCAATCCTAATATTATAAATTTCCACTAGATAAACTGTTAGTATTAGAAATTGATAGTATTTTAGTTATTAATGATTATCGTAGGAATAGGAATTTATGTTTTTAGGGAATTAAAGAGCTGTGGTGGGAGAGTTAGGTCGGTGGTAGGTGGGTTGGAATAGATAATGGTGTGAGTTGGAGTTACAAAAATACCCCTGTAAAAGCAATAACGATTTTTGACGGAATGACAATGTTGCCCTTACACACATAATTTTGGCGCCTTATTGGTGTGGTCGGAGATTCCTATGCTTGAAAGCTGAATCATGGGTGTACTACCCACTCTGTCTCCCATTTGGTTCCAGGGGAAAAGTATTGCTACTTGTTGTACTTTCTCTTCTATTTTCTACTATATCTATCCATATGGTCCAAGTATATGCCCCATAATATATAACACTTGTTCTTTTTAAATTGGTTTTATAAGTTAAGATGATATAAAATGATACATTATTTCTCCACAGATTAACGGAGTATTTGGTTGGTTGTCTAAATTTTTTTTTAAATTTGGATGAAAGAGTGGTACAGTATACACTGTTCTGTCGAGCTTGAGATTTGAATTTGAAATCTTGAAGTGTATTTCGATACCCTCAGGCCACAAACACTAAGTCAGCCTCGTTTACAGAATTTGAAGTTTTTATACATACACAAAAATATAAAAATAAAACATCTTATATATATATATATATATATAGTGTAGCTTTTTGTTTGAGCGGGGTTTCAAGTGTACATCTTTGCCCCTCCTACATCTGCCCTTATTTGTGCAGGTAGATAAGTTGTTTCTGAAAAATCATCACCTTAAGAAAATATATTATGCATAAAAAAGAAATCAAGTAAAAAAGAGATTTAAATAATTGAAATATGAATTTGACAACATAAGATTGAAACTACTAATAAAGACCAAAAAAAAATACTTTTAAATTAAGCAAATTTCTATATAATAATTATCACTTCATTATTAATCACAAATATAACAATTCTTGGACCGTTATCACCCCCATAACAATCTCTTATTGTTATTAACTTAAAACATTTTTAATTTCTCTTTTTAGTATAGTAGGGGACAACTGATTTTTTAGGTCACGTACATTTTCTTTAAAAAATTATGATCTTTTTACAGTGATTAAAAAACCTTAATTCTTCGTATAGTATTATATCATTAGATATATATAGTTAAAACACACTATATTAGTGGTCACCCTACTTTAGAGCGCAGGGAAGCTATCTAGGGAGAAGAACATTTTCTCTTCTCTATTAATCTCTATTGCTCCCCCCCCCCCCCCCCCCCCGGGTCCACTATCAGACAATTTTACACGATCATAATATATTTTTAAAGTTATAAATATATATTTTATTTTATAAAATGTTTGCCTAGAGGTATGGAATTGAAAATCTGTTAATATAAAAGACTATTCATACTAATGATATATATATATATATATATATATATATATATAAAATTAAACTCAAAATAAAATATGTTTGTATACAGTAATATATATTAAAAAATTTACACCTATGGTCACAAACCAATAATGACATTAGTGATATTTGCACGTGCTAAAGTCATGAATCCAACTCTAATCTAGTGAGAACGGAACTTTGGGATATAATCCAACTTCCATTTACTCTGTATTTCTAATAACAGAGTATCCGTTTACACGTAACTCTCATCATATTTGTTACCTTTCATTAATATAAGCGGATTTTATCTTCCAAATTGTATATGTATTTTTCAGAATTGTTCTAAAAGGCTAATGATGGACTTAATTAAATACTGAAAAATATCACTAATATTTTATTACCGCCTCTGCTAGGATTTGGTGATTTATTTTATCTGTATTACACTGTTTTGTTTTGAAGTGAATGTCTCATTATCTAGCTCCAACAGGCAACAGCCCCACGTCTTCTTAGAATTGTTTTTTCCGTTCGAAAGTTTTATGCAAATACATATAATTAAATTTGAAAAATACTGTGTAATCACGAGCAAAAATAAGAGTAGTAATTAAATCAAACAAAAATTGGAGCATTTTCATAAATTGACACTCTCAGTTTATATAATATGATCAACACAACATATGATCCACCTAACTAAGGATTAATTAGGTAAAACAAAGAATGGTCAATACAAGCACGCTCACAGAATTAAAAGGTGTAGTGCTATCAAATAAAGCAACCCAAAATTGACAGCTAAAGTAAGGGGCGAATTTAGCCTTCTAGATACGGATTTAATTAAATTCAGGAATTTTATTTGAACTATTTTATTTTTTAAGAAATCTATTCAAATTATTAATTTCGAACGTGAAAGGTTCAAAAAAATTTAAATGTATAAGCTTCAAAATCTAACTCTGTGACTACTCTTTTAGTGTGGCAATTTGAAAGAAAAGTATTATGTGTGACAATTTGACTTTAATGTTTTGTCCTCCTGCCTACAAGTCAAAAGATGATAAGTATTGATACTAAAGGATTTGGACATGCATGAGCAATGATTGATGGGTTAGTTGTATTTGGTCGTGTGCCTTTGAAACTAGTCACCGCAATGAGTGCGAAAACATTTTTTTCCAACTCAAGTTAATGAGATGTTTCTTTTACTTCGATTGAGTACGAAATTTAAGTGAAAAAATAATAATTAAAAATATGTATAATTTTATTATCTTAAACATGCAATATAAAATATTTAAACTAAAGAGTTATTAAATTAAGATATAGACCATTCTTCGCTAAACAAGAAAATTATTGAAGTAATAATAGGAATATTTCATAAGAAGAGTTACAGATGGAGGCCATCATGAAATATTCCATGCATCTAATTTACTAATGCCCTAATTTTTAACAATCTAATTCACTGCTTATTCAAAATGCTCATCAAATTAATAAAATAATAATTGAAGGCTATTTGTGTTCATAACCGCCGCTTTAACATTTAATATTTTGACCTACTACTAGCCAAACCACGTGGGCAGTAGGACTGACATGACAATTTAGAAAAAAAACTACTATAAATATTTGTGAGGAGCATTTGGAGTAATATTTTGACTCCTGTGATGTAAACTAATAAGACAGAGAATAAACTGTACTGGGGACTTTGATTTAATAATTTTTTTTCTATTACTAGAAGATATCACATTTTGGAAAAGAATTAACTTCTTGAGACAACTCAAACTATATAGTATAAATATAGTTAGGTGCAAATGACAAATGCTCCCTAGTTGATGAGACAATAGAGAAAGGGGACAGACCGCAGCAAAGGGAAAAGAATAAGTAACTTTCACATATTGAAGAAGAAACTTTGACAAAAGAAAAATGTGTATTTCGCAGTATCGACCTCCAAACGAATGAAAATAAATAAATAAAGAAAACATTACATGTGAACAAGAACGTAATAATTTAACCCATTCTCAGTACACAACCAAGCAAATGATACATAGTTATTTGTTAATGTCGTTGCTCGACTGGGTCTTTGTTGTAGTCCCAAAGCATTTACCTTGATTTCTTACTTCGCAATCCCATCCGTGATTTTGCATATCTAAATATGTCGTCAAGGAAAATTATAATGCAAAAGCAGAAAAAAATCAAAGAGAATAAAGGGTTGGGGTTCAGAGAAACCAAAAGAATTGATGAAAGGATACTCCAGTCGCATGCCCTCTCCAGACGAAGAGTGTAGAATGGTCCCTTGAAGATGACTCAATGCCTCGGTTGAGCTGGCAGTGTCCTGGAAATATGGCTTGTACATATTAATTTCAAATTCGACCTCTATTTATTCGAGTATTTGAACTTGATATGCAGCTGATTATTTAGACCTTGATGTAGCAGACCAAAAGAAGACAAACACAATAAAGATAATAGTTACTGCTTCCAATAGTTGTACCCATTGGCACCTTCCCCACCAACCCCTTCTATTGGGCACGGTAAGGGTTGTATAGGGAGTTAGAAGCACTAAATTTCTTCGCAAGGGAAAGACAACTTTATCAAGATAGCAGATAGGTGAAATCTAGGGTAGGACGTTCTTGCAATCAAACAATTACTTAAATGAAAATGCAACAGTTGTCCTGTGCTTAATGTTTTCTTGAAGAATGTAACTAGGAGATGCATATGAACCTCCAAATTAAGATTGCTGAGACTGCAGGACAGAACATGTACTAAGGTGCCGTTTGGTGTGAAGGATTACACAAAATAGTCATGGGATTAAATTGTAGTGTCATTTAATTTGTTGTTTGGTTGGCATGTCCGGGATAACTTATCCCGGGATTAATAATTAGTACCAGGATAAGTTATCCCTCCCCTTGGGTGGTATAGTAATCCCGGGATAACTTATCCCGGGATAAAATAAGTAAATGACAAAAAATATCCTTTAAAACCTTTTTTATACATCACTTTTCACATTCATGAAGGGTATTTTTATAAACAAATAAATTGTTCTTTAAATTTATGCAAAGCCTATTATTTTGAATACAACACACCAAACACTCAATAAAAAATATTCTCAACATAACTTATCCCATCATAACTAATCCCGTCATAACTT